GGGAAATTCTATTGGATTTCTGTAGTGCAGTATTTAGGGAGCAGAGTATGGTCATTTCTGTTAATCTTTACAAACAAATAATTTCTTCCAAGTAGGTGTGTGTGGGTGTGACAAGTTCTCACACTTCTTCTTGTCACTTTATGATTTTTCATTCAGATAAAATTATGCAGTAGTAATGATGAAGTATTGAATACCTCAAGAAATATACATCTTTTCCTTATTTCACCATAGGAATTGCCTTCTCATTTACTCTTCCAGATTTTAAAGACATAACTACAGTACTACTTATTTTTGTGTCATCATTCTTTGATGGAGAAATATTATAGCAACCTTTTTAAACTAAGGTGACCCCTCCAGGACAGCTAGGAACAAGTTAAAAGTATATCTTGGAGTCATAATTTTTATAGTTGTCCTCATAGCTAAGGCTGGACCACAGGAGTCTATATATGGTAACTCCCCCCTAGTTGTCCTCATAGCTAAGGCTGGACCACAGGAGTCTATATATGGTAACTCCCCCCTAGTTGTCCTCATAGCTAAGGCTGGACCACAGGAGTCTATATATGGTAACTCTCCCCTAGTTGTCCTCATAGCTAAGGCTGGACCACAGGAGTCTATATATGGTAACTCCCCCCTAGTTGTCCTCATAGCTAAGGCTGGACCACAGGAGTCTATATATGGTAACTCCCCCCTAGTTGTCCTCATAGCTAAGGCTGGACCACAGGAGTCTATATATGGTAACTCCCCCCTAGTTGTCCTCATAGCTAAGGCTGGACCACAGGAGTCTATATATGGTAACTCCCTCCCTAGTTGTCCTCATAGCTAAGGCTGGACCACAGGAGTCTATATATGGTAACTCCTCCCTAGTTATCCTCATAGCTAAGGCTGGACCACAGGAGTCTATATATGGTAACTCTCCCCTAGTTGTCCTCATAGCTAAGGCTGGACCACAGGAGTCTATATATGGTAACTCCCCCCTACATCAACCTCCAGTTTGGAATACGATGTTGAAACTCGAGTCTACAGAATTGATTGATATTTTAGCAAAAGAATGAAGTGAATGAATTTGTTGTTACTAAGACTTCTGTGTATTCAGGAAGATAGAGAGAAACTATGCCTGGAAAAAGGAGGCATCAATACATATAATGAAGGCATTACATTACAGTCCTATTTTAAGAAAGTCATCCATTGTATTTCACAGCATCAGGATAACATCACTTGTGATAATACTATATTTTTATAGTGTTAGGCTTTGTTTATTTTTTAGTCCTTCAAGGTACCTCACCTCACATGGTAAAAAGAGAAAGTGACATTCAATTACCTGGATATTTTACTAATTGCCACTTTGAGGTATGCATGGGCCTCGCAAACTCTGGGAGTGAATGTTGGTTTTATATATATATTTTTATTATTAATATTAATGTCTTTATCTTTTTTATTACTGTTTTGTTACTACTCTGATCTTTTTATTATTAGCATTAATATAATACAGTATATTTAATTTCCTTATTTTTGGGTTTTAATATTTCCCTCTTGATTGTCTTTCATGTTGATATTATGAGTATTGATGGCATGAGTTTTATTTATTTATTTATTTATTTTATATTTTATTTTTTGTATTTTTTGCCGCCTACAATCCCTTCTGAAAATTACCGTACAGGGATTATCTTCCCAAAACTGTTACACGAAGAATTCCCTTCATCGTGTTTTGGCAGTTGTATAAGTACTGTAAAGTACAACAGTTACTTTCCTGCAATAAGAGTACAGTAATATGATGTATTAAGATTAAGTGGATATAATTGACATAGTGAAAAACGGACAGTGTAAGATTAAGCAGTAAAAAATAAGTTGGTCAATTGGTCATCTTTCGATAGTTAAATCGGGTCAAATAGGCCTAAGCACTACTGGACTGGACTCTTATGGAATTTAACTACTCAGCAAAGTCCTCATGGTTAGATAAATTCAAGGTAAATTGGGACCCATTACGTATATCGATCATCTTTGATGGGTAGTGTAAAATTTGACAAAATGGTCTGCATTGTGAATGGGTTACAAAAAATAAGTAAATAAACCTGTATTTCTTATGCCCTGGTTATGGAAAAAGTCCTGTCAGTAATGTACTTTGTCCCATCCATAAAACCTGAGACTCTAGGTTCTAGAGTCTAGAACCTGTGAATCCGAGACATCACACAGTGTGCCATCTGTGGGCCTAATAATGTGTGATGTCTTGGATTCACAGGTTCATGAGTCTCGGGGTACATGGATGGGACAAAGGACTGACAGAACTTCTTACTGTGACTGTACATCAGCTAACACAAGAGCCAATTATACGTTCGTCAGTGAAATGAATAAGCAATACATTACTTCACTTATGTAGTTCTCTTCAAACAAAGTAATCGGTGTTATGTGTAGCCTGTTAAAATTTCACCTTATCTGTGAGTTCAGAACCAGACTTGGACTCCTGGTAAATTACAACTCCCCGAAGTAAGTCCAGAAGTCCTCTGATGTTATTGTTATGATATTACAGATTACCGAAGTTAAACCAAATTCTTAGTCTAAAATAAATGGGGGTAATAAATTTAAATGTTTAATGATTTTTACTTATTTATTGTCACATTGAAACAATCATCATAAAGTGTCTATTGCAGGATTGTAATGCTCAGAAAATAAATCTTAATTTATTGTTTTTTGTGCACATAGTACCGTATAGGTAAGTGCATTGAGTAAACAGCCACAATGGTAAATATTGTGAACTGTGGTGTAATGGGATATCAATGATGAACAACTCGGCTAAGATTGAAAACAGTTATTAGTGCCATCAGTAGTCATAGTGTCACTTTGTAGGATACTTTTCTTATGGATTTTCATTATAACTGTTTCTATATCCTGAGACAGAGATGTGTTTGAAAGGAAAGAACAGTTACTAGTATCAAAAGACAAGTTAAATCATGTGGTAGATATCCAGCCCTGAATTCTCCCATAGGCCCTGAGTCTTTAAAAGATAAATTCAAACATATCTTGAGGCTTGCTGAAGTTGTTACCTATATTGGTGTTGGCCTAATTAACAGTCCCACTGCACCCCCTCCCACCCTTACCATACAGGCGACAGCAGGAGACCTCCCACGGTACCCTGTTGCACAAACTGGAGGAGACGTTTATTCACGAATCAATTCTTGCAAGGTATATTGCATGTGGCGGAGGATGCATGAGGCATGTTTCTCAGACTGTGTGGCAACTTATCTTTATTTTTAGTTTAGTTTTAATAATATATTTTTTTAGTTTAGTTTTAATAATATAATTTTTTAGTTTAGTTTTAATACCTGTATTATAATTTTTTAGTTTAGTTTTAATACCTGTATTATAATTTTTTAGTTTAGTTTTAATAATAAAATTTTTTAGTTTACTTTTAATAATATAATATTTTTAGTTCAGTTTTTCTAGTAGTATAATTTTGTAGTTTTGATTTTATTTTAGATATTTAATTTATTTGCTAAGAAAAAAGTAAAACATTACTGTATATTTAATTTTATTGTCACTGGAGATGCTTTAACACAATTTCTGTACTGTCTTAACAGTTATTTGGTGTAAAATGGTTAACTTTGTTAAAAACCTCAGTAATTCACAAATATACAGTATATTTCCTTTGTCATGTTGAAAGTTCTAGAGGAATTAGCTTAAGCCATTGATGGCAAAACTACTGTACGATAATTAAATGAAAATGATGTTTATCAAGAAATTGTCATAAGCTGTGTTAGTGTGTGTCACTTCACACAAAAATACCTCACCCAAAAGTTTGGTCAGGCAGGAGTGCCATGCGTGAGGTGATTAATGCAGCAGAAAATCTTCCATATTCTTGTCAATGGGTTCTTTTGGCCATTTTTACGGTGTGTTATCAAACTCAACACTGTTTAAATTGATTTCCTCATCTCTAGTCTCTTTGTATGTCAAAGAAAATCTATCTTTTCTTCACAATCTCATTTCTTAGTGCAAGTAATTGGTAACTGTTGTGCATCACAAGTAAGCCATGTCACCTTACCGAGTTGCATTTAGTCCTTCAACACGTAAAGTATATTAAGACCGTCAAAGGTTTATCCTACTATAAATTTTAGTTGAGTTGAAAGAGGGAATCGTCCAGTATAAACTCATCAAGCAACGATGTTAAAGCCTCACCAGTGACAGTAAATACAATATTATTAAAATGAGGGTGAGATGTGTTAAGGCTCATCATAACTGCTAAAGAAGGAATTATGTAGATTTATGATTTATTTTGTTTATTTTAGATTTGTTTATTCTTTTTCTTCTTTGTGTTCATAATGTTACTGTACAGAAAAACCAGAGTATATATAGTTTTTACATAGTTCCGTACAGAGGTAAGATGATTAGCATCAGCAGGAACAGTTTTTTAATGGCCAGTCTTTTTAAATTAAACCATAGTAATACGTAGATATTAAATGCCCCCTTTCCCCCCTCCCACCATTGCCCTACTTTTTATGGCAGTTCCTAATAATAGGGTCTCGTATTTAGCTGCTGAATTTACGACTTATAGCGGACAACTCGGGTTTATCAAATGCATTATCCAACACCACAGACGCTTAAGAATTTCACTGACTAATTAATCACTCCACTGCTTAGGGAGATTCACCTCAGGAATATCTTTTATTTTATTACTGTTGTGCAATGCTGAGTAAATATTTTTGGCCATAAATTCTACTGTAATAAGTTAATTACTCTCTCTGAAACAGAATATAACACTGAGGTACAATATTCTTTCATCCTTACAGTTTCCTTGAATGGTGTAATACTTGACTAGGTCTCCTAATACTTTTATTCCTGATTCAAGTTTCTTTCACCTGTTGTTTAATATAATCTGACACTGACAAAAAAATACAGTTCTTTTAGATAAACCATTGAACTTGTAAGACATTGAACTTGTAAGACATTGAACTTGTAAGCCATTGAACTTGTACACTCACCAAAAAAAGTCTTGTCACCTCATCTGCCTCTTCATGAACCCAGTCACAGATCTCCAAATCTCTGGGTTTGTGAAGAGTCAGGTGAGGCGACAGAACTTTTGTTGACATAATATTGAAAACAAATTTATAAGAATTTTGATATGGCATAGGAATCGGGCACTGTATTATATTTTAAAGCATTACATTGTTGCAAGGAAAATATTTACTCTGATATGCAATTAAAACATTCCTAATTAAAAATTTTGTTATAAATAAAGTTATTGTGATATTATTTAGAGGGGAATAAAAACCAAAACATATGCTTCAATAATCATAGGTGCAATAGATGTTCTGTTTGTTTTACCAAGTTGTTTTGGTCTGGAGTTGGTACCTCAGCACACTACACTATATACCGGTAGCACTATGATGAACAGTAGAAAGCATGCATCAGTTCATTCACTTGAGCAAGGCTATACAGTTTTTGTTCTTTAGCTGGCCAGACTTATCATTGTCATTTTAAGACTTAATTCTTACTAGATCCAGTATGACTATTTATGTTCTACAGCTGAATGGTTATTTAATTCTCCTTTTTTTATATTAAAAGAAACCCTTGAAATGTACTCCTGTTTCAGTCATTTATATTATTTAAAGCTTCACTGTTCTTGCCATGCACTTAAAAGTTACTAACAATAAATAGTATTGTTTGTACACTTAAGATTGCTAACAAGATAAACAAGAAGAAAGTTAATTGAATTCTTAACCTTTATAGATAAATGTGGAAATTTTTCTCTTCCATTATCTCTGTTGTTATGCAGTACTGTACAGTATTATCCTTTCTAACTTCTTGACTAGAAAGTCCTGGTATGAAGTCTCCTTACTTGTGGACAAGACATTTCAGTACAGCTTTTATTATTGACAGCAACAGATAGATTCTTAGTTAGAGATTTTTATTAAGGCAGAGGACCTCCATGACAGCTGATAGGGAATGTGAGCAGATGTAGAGAGTCCATCATTATGCAGCACAGCTTCCAAGAGTGAGGAAAAAATGTCTAACTGAACAATTAATTGGAATGAAAAATTTTTTAAATGCAGAAAGATTAATAAAACATAGGTGAACAAAATAATAATGATTTATCCATAGAGAATCCACTAATGTTTGCTCGTCACTAATGTTTTTTACTAACAGCCTAATGATAATTTTTTTAACAACTGTATTGTGGTTTATCTGCCATTCATGTAAATATGAAAATAATTTACTTTCATGCTGTGATAGATGATGGTGTTTATTTAATTATTTATACAAAAATTTATCGATGCTGTCAGTAACAGAATCATATACTGTAATGACTTTTATCTTGGTTCTTTCCATTGACCACCCATGAGAAATATTTGATAATGGTTCCTCAAAATATTCAGCCTCTGATTTTATGTTTCTCTATAAATATTACTCTCACTGAATCTTATCATTAGTTATATATAAGAAGTAAAAGTGATAATTGTGCCGTATAATAAAATTATGATGGTACTACAGTCGCGAGGCTCGGGAGTATCAGAGTCAGCGAGGGCCTCGTGATTCTGGCCGCGACAACCAACACCGACCAGTCAGTAATTACTACGAGTATGAGAGTGTGCAGGCCATGATTTCTCATGCCCAAGAGAACAGCAGCACCTCCCTGCCAAGAAGACATCATCCTCCACCACCTGGACCACCTCCAGCTGCAGCAGCTGCTGCATCTATTGCCAAAAGTAAGTACAGTACAGTACAGGGTACCTGTGGTGCAGCAAGTCTGCTAATGACAAGTTTTGCAAATAAAGATGATTTTGAGAGTTCCCAGTCTTTCTGTAAGACAGATTTGTGCTACTACAAATTTTGCCAATGAAATGATCCAATAGATTAGGTAGATGTTTGCAAAACTATTTTGGTATTGAATTTTCATTAATAAGTCTCCTAGACCAATTTTATATACTGTACCACACTAACTCCATACACAGTAGTATTGTACAATATCACTATCTCGTGTGTAGCAGCCAGTTGCACATAATACAGTACAGTTCATTTTGAATATAATTTGTTAGGTTCTAGTGAATAGGTTTTATATATAACTTTTTGTTTCTTATCAGATAGTGGAAACAGTGGCCAAAGCAACTCTTTGTTCCTTGGTACTTCCCAGCCACACCACATGTCTATGTTCAAACAAGCCTCGGGCTCGTTCATACATGGTAATCAGCCTGCACGTGTAGGCCACGCAGGAGTCAACGTGGGTCAGCCCGGCTCACTTACTGGTCACCGAGAACACACTGACATTCCACGGGAGCACCCTCGTGACGTACCCCACATGGAAGGCATCTACGCATCAGGTTATCGACCAGCGAGCCATTATACTGGGCCACACTATAAACCTCCTCCGCCACCGCCGCACCATCACACAACAAAACTCACAGTACCGGGTTCCAAAGTATGAGAATAACTTATCTCTGGAATTTAAAAAGGTGCTGTAAAAATTGTATAAATAGATTTATTCTAGTGCGGAAAAAGTGAAATGATTAATTTATTGAAAATCAAAAATATAATTTTGTGCATATGTGAGATAGAACATGTAAAATATGAGTGGTGACGAGCTGAGATTGTGACAGTGCTGTGAAAATTGTGGGGTGTAAATTATTCTGAAGTCATTGGTTTAAGAACTATTTTCCTTGCCTTGAATATGCTGACGGAGTGCTATTTCTCGGCATCCGTGGCCATGTATTTGTTGTACGGTGCAACATTCCAGAAACTGTATTTCTACTTTTAAGATTTAAATAATAAATTGTCTTTCTTGCCTTTTACATATAATTAAATTTTGTACAGAGAGTGAGGGACCAAATGTTCTTATATTATTACAGTACAGTACCTGGATAATGTGCAACTTTTATTCTTTTATATAACTTATAGTTATTTCAATTTGAAATGTGAATAATAATCGAAGATAATTTGGATCTTTGGATTCTAAAGACGAAGCCAAGGTTTTGAGGTTGCATCGGCTACCAGTTTCAAATCAGCGAAGTGATAACAAGCCAATTTTATTGAGCTTGCACCGTTTTTAATATATTTTACCCTCAAGTCATTTGTAAAAATATTACAGTGCTCCAGGATTGGGTGCCTTATCTATAGTGATTTGGATGAATATAAAGTGCCATCCATAAATATGCCTTGACAGTTCATAATGAACTGATTTGTCCATAAGGATTGTTGGAGATGATGCTAGCCTGACATGTGTACATGACCTAGTATTACATACATATATATGTACAGATTTATATAGATCCCATATATTGAAGGAGTATATTATTAGGTTAGCAAAAGTCTAAAATCTTACTTACATTTTATGCTGACTTTTATTATGCTTCTTTAGCTTTTAATAAACAAGAATCTTATTCGACACAGACTCTTCTAGACACTATCAACTCGACCAGTAGTTACGCTGTGCCAAAGTGACTTTGGGTTACATTCCTTAACAGACTTGTTGACCTGTAAACATTGGTTGTACAGGCCTCATTGTGTGTGGTCACTTACAGTTCTGTCATGTATGTACATTTTTTGTAAAAGTTTTTGTAAAAAGCATTAGTATGTAGGTATGTAAGAGGCAGTTTTTTATACTATGTAAATGGCAGTAGCAATGTGCTACTGGGCTGCATTATTTTCTGCTCAAGATGCAGCTCTACTGTGTTTTATGTAACTGGATCTATTCCAATACTCCAAAGGAAAATAAAGGAAATTTTAGTAATTTTTTGTATTATTGTGCTTGTGAATTGCATGAGTTACTTTCTGTATTTTCAGGTATCAGGTAAGTAATACTGTACTCTAGTTTTTGTAGCAACTTTTTATTTCTCTCTTATCAGTTTTCTATACAAGTATTGTTTCCCCTCTATATACATATGCCCAGTAATCAAAAAAAAAATTACAGTTACTGTACATATCACATTTTGCCTTTTTTATTTTCATTTTTTTAAAGCAAACATACACGGACAAATAAAAAACATTTTGACACCCTTTTTTCTTATAATAATGTGAACTTTCAACTATCACACAGTTACGATGCCACCCAGTATGCACAGAGATGCACTTACACTCAGTTTTACCTGTACAATGTTCATTGTTTTCTATATATTTATTCTTAACTATTACTTTTACAGAATATATAATTTTGAACTTTGTATGAAAACTCCCCAGTTGTGCAACATTTCCCTTCCCTGGAACTTAACTCCTAACAATACATGGGCTCTACCACTTGCAGGTACAGTAGTAGGCAGCTATCAAACAGGGAGGTACTACTGTTTGGGAAGGTATTGGAAGCATAATGTGTTGTCTAATGGTAGACCCTGCTGCCATATGGCATCACGAAAATTGTGACCAAGTCCCAGGTTGCTGATCTGATTTTCTGCCTCATTTACACACAATTGCAGGGTCTCAATTGTTTCTCTTTGACAACACAATGTATATATCATTTTTCATGACTGATTTGTTTTGTTTTTTTCCATTTCTGTAATTATTTGTGTATCAGGGAATACATATGCAAAAACTATGCTCCCCCCTCCATTTACTGGTCACTAGATACTACCATGGTGTCATATAGGATTATCCTATACAGTACAGTACTGTAATTATATCCCTAAAGAGTGTCGGAGCTCTCGGTTCTCCACATCATTCATTAGTACGGTAGATTACCTGACATAGGCTAATGTCTTTCTGCTTTAAGAGTGCAGGGTCAGGGGATTAGTGTGAACAGGCAACAGCATAGGACTAGTCAAGCCACAGCTTATGCAGTTCCTTGCCTGGCATCTCGGGTTGTCACATTTTCTGAGAGACCAATGGCTTACGTGTAAAAGCTGATTTGTGGACAATGACAACATACCGTACAAAGAATTAACTGGCCACTGATACACAGTAAATGATCAACTTCATAACACTGGTAAACAATGTAGTGTCAGGTCAGATTGGGGTACACATAAATCATATCAGCTCTGTAGAAGATTCCATTGTGACCAGGATTGAAGTAATTGTAGTTCAATTTAAATCTAAGTACTGTACTGTACTGTATTATACAGTACGTAATACCCTGTTGAAAGTTGATTCACTACTAAGCTCTCGCCTTTTAATGTTATAAAGTAAAATATTTGCTCATTCCAATGAGCCAGATGCATCCACCATTTTTGTTCATGCTCACTGAGCAGGCTAAGCATGTGGGTTGAAGGCCAGACTCGGGGGTACATGTTAAGCCAGTTTTTTATCTTGGAAAAAGCAAGATGCAAGATATTGCTGTGTATTATGTATTTGCAGTCCTAAAGTTACAAACAGGTTATGTTCCTGGGCCCTGTTTGCAAGTCGCAACAGTGTTAGGTTAAAGCACAATCCTTCATACAAAATAGTAATAATCCATACATAACAAATATTGTAAATACTGTACTTTAAATAAAGTGATGTTAAACAAATAAAGTAATGTAATGTAATAGGATTTTTTGATGAATTTATTGGGTTTGTTTTTTAATTAAGTGTATGTACCAGTAGTCAAATTAAACCATCATGTATCACTCATAAGTAAGAAATACCGTACAGTTGTACCCCGCTTTACACGGTTTCACTTAACGCGATTTCTCATATACGCGGTGCCTCGCCAGAACCGAACTTTCACTTAACGCGGTTCATCTACTCATATACGCGGGCACGATGCGCACAAGGTCGCCCAGTCATCAAAACATTACCTAGTTCTTCACCCGCCACCCACCACAGCCGGCCCAAGTCAGTGATAGTGATAATTATAGTGAGGATATGGACTTATATGGACTTTGAGGGGTTTGACAAAGAGGCCCTGCAAGCCTCTGTGGTGGACAGTGATACAATTGATACAAGTGATACAGGTGAGGGCCAATAATCTGCCCTCTGCCTCGGAACCAACCCCCCATCCCCGTGTGCCCAGCCATCTTTTCTACTAATGTAAGTGTTAAAAAACCTAATATTATTGATATTTTTCTTAATTATTAATTGTGTGTGCATACCATCATAAAGTTAAGATAATATTTTTACTACAACATAGTTGTGTGTCGTCAAAAAGTGGAGTTTGGGGGTCGGGCCAGTCTCTATTGGAATTAATCCCGTATGTTCTGTTGTTCACTTAACGCGGTACCCTGTGGGTTCAATTGACCGCGTTAAGCGGGGTACAACTGTACTTAGTAATGCATCTCCAAATCAACTGTGTTACATTATAAGGACAACTTAGAATGCTGATTTGCTAGCAGCTCTTTTCTCCAGGAATGCATCATGAGGTTTCAATGGGGTACAGTATTACTGTAATTACCAAATTTTTTGTAACTGTTTGAGATTTGAAGTCTCCACACACAGGTGTTCTCAGATGCAGAAAAATGTTGCACTCACAAGTCTAGGTAGTTGTGCTACCCTGGTGGCTTTTAGGGTGTAGGTTATGTCAGAGACACTTGTAACTCAGTCTTGCCAACTTCAAATGACCGTTGACACAGTGAGGTTGGGGTCATCCTATTTCTGTTCACAAGTGCTGACATGATAATGTTGTTAACGTTATGGGTCAGTTTGTCAGGTCATGTATAATAGGCGAGTCCTAGGAAGTTGCTTCAGTTTTGGGAGAGACATCTTACTGTGAATGTGTGGATTTACTTCAGTGTAAGACTTCAGTTTATAAGGTAAGATACAAGCTAATTCTGGAGAAAAATTTGGGCCTTTTAATACAATGTTTTTCAATTTGATTATGTTCAGAGACATCATTAACAGTTCAAACTACAGTACTCGGTACATTTTTCTTAACGGGGGAGGGGGGGTCTTACTGATCACATTGAAATTTTAATACAGTACAGTATTTAAACATTTCTAAAATAAAACTCAAGATGAAAAATAATAAATAAAGACCAATAGATAATATACAATTGGTTAATTGTTATGCTCTTTATTATACTGTACTGTACTGTACAGCATGTACTGTACAGCATGCCATGCCTACCCCCGCTATTTAGGACCTGACCTCGTGGTGACCTCTCTCTTCCTCTAGCTACAGCCGCAGCAAGCAACACCACCTCCTCTGCCTCTGCCTGGCGGCCCTCGCTCTCGCCAGCATAGCATCAGACAAAAGCCACCCCGATCAAAGTAGGGGCTTTTGTCTGGGTGGCTTTTGTCGGGGGGGCTTTTGTCTGTACCCCAGTGAGGATAGTGTCTTAGTATAAAATCGCAATGCTGTGAAACAAAATCTTAATATTTAATCTCAGTACCGCAGCAAAAGTCACATCAATATTTTTTAACCAATACTTTAATATTTCTTACCTTATAGTATTATGTCTTCCAACGAAGTAAATAACTGGATCGAAAACACAAGAGAACTTAAAAGTCGTCTAGCCTCCCCTCGTCTTGTCACGATGGAGACTTGTGCAGAACTGAAGTGAATTGCTTGTAACTGGTGGATTGGTCGGCTGTACATGAACTGATATGACCCGAGACTGCATGGTTTTGCAGCTACTGGAGACGTTAATCCTTCCCTTTGTATCGGCGGCAAGTTAATCCTCGTCGTGTCTGACCTAACACCTGACCCACACCACATGAGCTCACTGGCGTACTTGTTTGAAGTTGTTTCCTTAATCCTCAACAGGTTACAGGTTGTGTGTGTGGGGGGGGGGCGCATAGCAAGGGTGTAGCTCATGACGTGGCCGTGATGATGTGGGTCAGGTGTTAGGTCAGACACGACAAGGATTAACTTGCCGCCGATACAAAGGGATGGATTAACGTCTCCAGTAGCTGCAGATATGGGTGATGAGCAGACCCAAAAGTCCATCCCCCTAGCTACGCTAGTGACCCCACATACTCTTAGGCAAAAAGAAAAAAAATTAAAATACGGTACGGTGTATACTGTAAGAAAATTACTCAGTACGTATTGAATTCTGAGGTTTCAAGTAGTATATCCTTTGTCATGAAATGTTAGGAACCTTAAAAATATGTGATAAACCAATACAGTAATGTGTTAAGCCTGCCAAATCCAACCATTGGAGCTTGCCCCTCCCCTTGTCCCCCCCTTTCCTCTCCCTCCCTGGAAAAGTTCTAGTGGACACCCATGCCTGTGTGTTCAGAGTAGTAGCTCAAGTTTAAATTCAGTCTTATCTCTAGCAAAATTGGGTGATGATGCTACCTGCTGCAAATCACAAGCTAAGGTATTAGATACATGCTACAGTATAGTCTTTAATACTGTACATTTGATGGAGTAGTAAGAAAACAACTATACTGGAAAAACATTGATGAAGCAGACCACAAAAACTAAACAATTTGAACAGACAACACTCATCAAATAGCAGTCAGGACTGAGTTGTTTTGGTGATTCATATACAGTAGTAGTTTACTATGCAAGCGATTTTTAAGGTTTTATTCCTGTCTGCTCCTCAAGGAGTTTACTCTACACACTAAAACACACAATAAAAATAATAGTTCAGATTCTATGATGGATGATAGGTGAGTTTTCTTGTTCACTTAAAATTGTTACCCTCAAGTTTGCCGCCATTTGTGAAAATGCATGCTTATTAAAACTAATTCTCTTTGTCTTCTTACTTTGTTATAGGCTGCATGTCAAGATTTGTGTTTTGGGAAATACAAAGGAAAAGGTGAAAGGAAAGTCAGTACAATAAACCGCGACTTGAATCAGAATTTCTAACTTGATGGCGAATTTTGGTATTCATAAAGCTCTAATTGTAATCAGCTAGACACCGGTAATTGTTAAGTTAGTTCTTACACATTGTAGGATATTTAGTATTAAGTACCTGCCTCCTCGCGATCATCCGTGCTGGCCGTCACTAGGTTAACTATCTTTAATACTGTTTTAATCTGTAGTTGTGCTTTTCTGTTGCTTTGATTAGCCTCTCTCTCTCTCTCTCTCATTGTAAATACGTGCATACTTGCAGGTGTTTTATTTGTAGTCTACCATTTGCAATATTGTAATCTAATGTAACATTGATATATGAAAGCAAATTTTCTGAAATGTGACTCAAACTTATTACATAAAGTTATCTATCAGTATCGGTGACATTATATCAATACTGTATAAATATTAAGCTATTTTCCAATATCATGTATGGTTTGATATGCAAAAGACAAATCTTTTCTATATATATATATATATATATATATATATATATATATATATATATATATATATATATATATATATATATGCAAGTAAATCAGTGTAGGTGCGCGTGATCCAGGTATATGCTGTTAACCACAAGGAAGGAAGAAAACACGAGGTTCCCAAGCGCTTTCGTACAGTCTTGCTCACCCCTGAAGATGTGAATTATACGAAAACGCTTGGGAATAGCCCAACAACAATATTAAAGATCTAAGTAACTGACAACATAATTTACTTCTTTATCGTATCATTTATGTTGTCAACTACAGTTGTTTATGTCAAGGATGCCCGCAACTCACTGACTCCTGCTTCTGAAAGATATACTGTATATATGGTGCATACCCATTGGCTCTTGCCTTGTGACGTCATAATATACACGGTAGAACCTCATTGGTTCCAAGGTATAACTGTCTGGTGACGTCTTAAAGAAATACACAGTAGAGCCTCATTGGTTCATACCTGGTGAAATCATAAAGAAATATTCGTTAGATGGCTGTTGGTTCTCAAAATGTGACGTCATCAAATTAGATTGTGGATAAGCCAACCAGAGGCAGGAAATCAGACACGTGTTTGGTTTTCCGAGTCGAGGAAGGGATGACCTGCACGCCCAGGCAACGTGACACAAGTGTTGGGCGAGTGTTTACTATAACTTATGTGTTTATGGAAATGTATTCTTGGGTGCATGTGTTCATGTATGTGAATACGTGGCGAATGATTGCTCTTGAGCGTGTATGTTAGTGTATTTGTACAGTATATATTACGTGTATATGGATAATTTGACCACAGGATCTCAGTACACGATGTTCAAGGCAATATATAATAGTAATTATAAGTTCTATCATCACACAAGACACTGCATAACACCTTAAAATTTAAACAAGTACATTACAAAAAATGGAAACGCACCAATTAAAATTACCCAATAAAGCTTATTTATAAATAGAATAAGTAGTCATTTGTGTTTGTGAATGTTTCGTATGTATTATGTAAACACTCAAAAATATAGTCCTTTGTTTAATGTTTAGTGTGTGTGTGTGTGTGTGTGTTAGCAGCCAATCGAGAAGACTGCGTGTGGCGATATCAACACACACACACACATCTCCCTTTCACTTTCCACACAACGCTTTCTACTTTCTTAATCTATCCAACGCGAATATACTGTACTACACAAAATTCACAATGCTCTTCGTATCTTAGAAACAAGGAAAACACAACTACAGTACCATTCAGATCATTCGATAATAATGTGTAGATTCCCAAAAGTTCTTGCGTTATTTTACTCGCTAGATGATGAGATGGCACAATAGATATATTTAAACTTGTTAGACAGGATTCTCACTCTATTGGCGTTAAATGGTTATCTCTCGATCTTCTTCGAATTTAATGCAACTGTTTATGAATACTCAAAAATTATAATAGTTAATATTTATGTTCGTTTACGAGTTAATATGTATGTAGGAGAAATATATCCTGAAATTATATGTAAGCTAAGGAAAATTGCTTTAACTGGTGGAGGAAGTTTAAATATTACGTTCCTCTTCACTTGATTTATGAATAAGTCGTATTTATATATAATGATTGTGTAGACCATTACTGAGTGGTTTATTTTTTATCAATTACAGTAATATTAACGAGGCAAGTTGTAACAAAATGTGTTTTAAGGTAACAACACAACACAAATACAATCAACAAAATACATATATCTCACAATTATCGAACAACTTAAAAGGAAAAAAAAAACGACATGAAACTTATACACCAATTAAAATTTCCTTATTATAAACCAGCGAACGGACGACAATAGATAAAATTTATTGAGATTAATCAGATTTGTATGATAATTACCATCTTTATTTTTTTTTTTTACAAGGATTAGCCCACCCAGGCACAGGTCACTGACCCACATCGGGGCCTGGGGGGCGAAAATGTAATAATAATAATAATAATAACAGTAATAATATTAATTAGTTCATAGTAAATAACATTTATACTAATAAAAAAAAATAAAATAAAAATAAAAATAAAAATAATAATAATAATAATAATAATAAAAATAATAATAATAATAAAGAAATTCAAAAAAGAAAAAAAGTTCAAGAGTGAGAAACAATATATGTATGTTGTGTTGTCAAAGTAAGAGAAACAATTGAGATCCTGCAATTGTGTGTAAATGAGGCAGAAAGTCAGATCAGCAACCTGGGACTTGGTCACATATGGCAGCAGGGTCTACCATTAGACAAGCTTACAATATCTTCCCAGGCAGTAGTACCTCCCTGTTTAATAACTGCCTACTACCTACAACCTATCCCGCTACTGGACTTTCTGCCTTGGTAATCTACAATTGCTGAAGCTAGTGTTTTTATCAGTGAGTCAGCTGGCATCAAATAAAGGTCTTCACACGTGCCAGCACAATGATGATAGATAAGATCTTAACTCCATTTAAAAGTTGTGTCGCTTATCTTCACGTTGTAGGACAAGGGAAAATAATGGTATGTCTTTAAAGGTCCTTCGCCATTTATCTTTATATCATGCAATATTCTATTTATTTTGTTATTGTTGTTATCTACATTAATTATAATTACTGATATTGTTGCCGGCTGTTTGAAGGCTACTTTATGCATGTTTCTGGTTTTCACTAAAGAAATGGGCCATGAATAAAAAATTTCATTTGATTTTGGGGGGAAAAGTTTTCTGTGCCATACAACAATTTGAAGTCTAAATCAGTTTCCACCTGTTAACTTTCAGTATCTCCCTTGAAGCGCATTCACTTTCTTCATTAACGGTTGTTTCATTAGGTATGCATCTTTGTACTGCTCACCAAGACTGATTAATTTATTCATCTATATGTGATACGGCCGGATACCCTTAACCTACTGTTTCCTAGTGTTAGTATTCCAGCACTGTCTACGTTGATAATAAACTAATTTGAACATTCATGATAATTTAACTGAATAAATGCATATCCATATATTTAATTATTCTAACTATCTATCTATCTGCTTAACAGGTGTTCACGTAAGTTTAAACCGCGCGCTCTGAGGTGCCAAACTAAGTGTAAGGCGGTGATTGGCTGTAGTAGTCTTCCCTCAGCCAATAGTTACTGGCCAACACAGAGACACTGCAACACGTCAAATGAAGATTTTATCGACTTTTATATTTTTTCTAAGTAAAACCTCGGTATATTTATTTTAAAATTTATATAAGTAATTTTTATAAGTATATTTTTATTACCCAAGATGTATATGAGTGATGAGAAGTGTTTACATTTTACAGGTGAATAAAGAATTAAAATAATACTTGGCATCGCAGGTAGTAGAGGCAGCAGCAGCCTGGCCGGCATTTAAACAGTTGACAAGAATTGAGTAAAGAGGAAGGTAACGGAATCATGGCTCCAAGATTACTGATACTATTTACCCTTGTGGCAGCTGCTTTTGCCGATGATGTGTTGCAGTTGGGAGATGCCGACTTCGACACCAAAGTTGGGAGTTACGATACAGTCTTGGTGATGTTCTACGCCCCGTGGTGAGTTATCTGAAGGGTGTGTGGAAACAGGCGATATTTCCAGTCAACACCCTTTACCTGATGTTGTACCGGGGTAGTATTGTCTTGTTGGCAGTAAGGGATACTTGTAGTGGAATAATGAGGAGTGTGTTTAAGTGAAGGTAAACAGTGTGGAGGATATAGAGGGGAGGTGGTGTGGTGCTTTCTGCAAGCACCGAGGAAGGAGCATGGCAGCTCCGGGCCACCAGAGGAAAACTTCGCCAGGGAAGGCTTTCCTTACGGCGCCTTAAGTAAATAATGTATCCATTTTAAGGCGGTTTTAATTTTTTGGTGGGAAGAGGTTTTGTTTTACTCAAATCTGACCATTTCTTGTGCAAATTCTTAACAGCTAATTTGCACAAAAAGTGAATGTCAAATTTGGGTAAAACGCCCCAAAATACACAAAGAAAATCTATTCTCAAACCAAAGGATCCAACCTTCCTAACATACCTGTACAAGGAGACAATGAACTTCCTGCAGACAGTCAATGGACGAATATTAACCATTTAATCATGCATGATGGAAGTACAGTGCCGTTGACTGCTATTTGTAAGACCAGTGGATAAATTTAATACTTACATATGGATATTTGGAGGTACTTGTTCACCCAATGAATGTTATTAGTTTTAGGTGAGGTAAATTAAAGATTAAATTTATTCAGACACTTGGGTGATCTGATAGCTTTGTTTATATCATCAGCTCTTGAGGGAAGTTTACATGGCCATGAAGCCAGACAGAATTGATATGGTAAAATGTTAATACGAGGACCACTAGGCAAATGTTTTATATTTTGTGCATATGTCATTTGTTTCTTTAATGCTAATGTACTTAATGATTCTGATCAGATTCACAAGGCTTAAAAATACTTGTACTACAGGCAGTGGATATTTTGCCGTGGCTGGGTTAGTTTCCACTAATGCTATTTCATGGTGAGTGTGCTCCGATTGGCTAACCATCCATTACCAGCAAACGCAAGAACTATATTCGCCAGTGACTCTGGCGGCATTTGGCATTCATTTTGCTGTGAGTCAATATTTTGTAGCTATAAACATACTAACCTTATTTCTGTGGTGCATGGAAACTTATTATAAGAGATGACATTTACTAGGACCTAATAGAACCTGACCTAACAAACCAAAGAAACCTAGCTAACCTTACCTAACTTCCTAGCTGGGTGGCAGATCTGTCACATTAAACAGAAAGTACTAAGCCAATCAGAGTGCATTCATGGTAAAAGTTTTAGTAGGTAAGGTCATTTTTTGTTATCCACCCATCACATATCTCGCATGTAAATTATACATTTTTTTTAGTTTTCTTCCTGTTTTATAATTATCAATGTCGGAATCTAAAACCGCCAGAAAACCTAACCCAACCTTACCTAACTAACCAACCTAAAAAAAAAAGGTGATTTGGCCCAAATATAAATGTCCGAATACTCTAAAACGGGAAGAAAACTGGCGAAAAAATATATTTTACTCGTGAAAAAATGTGATGGGTGGAACACGAAAAATGACCGTGGGAACTTGGCCGGTCACAGCAAAACATCCAGCATGAATACTAGATGGGACTTCAAGTGGCTTAATAGGGCCACCTCAGTGGTTAGTGCATCTGTGTACAACTCAATTGGCCCTTGTTTGGTACCAGGGCAGACTGAACAGTTTCCTACAGCCAGTGGCGGACTGGGTCAAAAATTTCTGCCGGGAAAACTTGTAAAAGGGCCCACTCATAAGGGTCCAAAAGGGCCCACTTAACCCCAAAACGTACTCAAAGGAACCATCACTTTGGGACCCACGGGGAAATTTCCTGTTATCCCAGTACACTACTGCCTACAGCAGTGGGGAAGAGAAGCTCGACCTGTAGGTGACCACCAAACTGACAGGTGTCAAGCTTACCAAGGGGCCTGTTCCTTGTGTAGGGAGGTGTTGAATAGTGAAGGTACCTAAATTAGTCTATTTTATCAGGGTAATAGACCTAGTAGATAAGCTGGCCATGTAACTTTTTGGGTACATTTTCACTTGTTGCCATTACAGGTATATGAATTTGAAGTTGAAACTATTTTTGATGTTAGGAACGAATTTGACCTTCATTTCTGGTGCAAATTGATAGTTTGAGAAGCCCCCACTCCCATCTCGGAACCAAGAGATTTGCTCTAAAAATGTTTAAAACACATCGAAAACTGTCAGAAAAAGTTTTGAATTTAACCTAACCCAACTGGGGAGCTCCACTGTCTTTTGATGTAATTTATGCCAGAAATGCCATTGCAGAGTCTTAGAATTGTCAAAGCTACTGATTGCAACTGTAAAATTCCAGAGATTCGTTTAGTGGCAACAAGTGAAATGCCATTTTTTCGGTGTTACATGAGAATGAGAGTTCGGTGTAAACCTTTGGATATTAATGTTTTCTGGAAATTCTGGGTAATTAGTTTGGAATGGGTCCAGGCTAACTAAACTATTTTAGATTAATTTCCTATAGAAGATATTTCTTTTTTACTTCAATAATACTATACAGGTATACCAAAACAGGTGGGGGAATTGCTTTGTCCACCCATAGTACAGTACGTATAAGATTTCTCAGACAGGATGAACCTACAGTACCTATCCCAACCTAACCGGTAATAGTTTACAGTTGAGACAATGGGGAAAAGTATGTATATGATTTCTCAGTCAGGATGAACCTACAGTACCTACCCCAACCTAACCGGTAATAGTTTACATTGCATGTTGAGACAATGGGGAAAATTCTTTTGGGGGAAACTTATTTCTTCCTATTTGAATATAAAATGTTTGGATGAATTGGCTTTTCAATTTTTTTAATTGGTAGTTTCCTGCCATGTTTAGGGTTAAATTCTTGTACTCACGTGTGAAGGGATCATAATGCTCAGGAACAATCTCGGCAAACTTTCCATACGAACTATAAACAAAATAAAGCCCAAACCTACCTAACCTACAATAATGAATTTCTGTCTGAGGATAGGTATGTTAGGTTAGGTCAGGTTTGGTTGGTTGATTTTCGATTTATAACTAGTGGTAGATGGTCGTTGACAAGCGTGTATTAGGGTAGGAGAGGACACCATCTGTTTTACAATACTGTACTTTTTCCTTTTATCACATCATAAAAATTTTTTGTGATATCTGTTAGTGCAGGTATTACTGAACTCTCTTTATCATTAATTTGGTTCCTCAATAATTTTCACAGGAAGTGTAGAGGTGTACTTTTAATTGAACAGCATATTTTGTTAGGATCCTCTATACTACACTTCCTGGCGCTTACGTGTTACAGAAAAAAATGTAACTTGTTCGTGATGGATTATGAAATTGTTAAACCAAGGTTCACAACCCAAGACTTCAGGCTCGGCCAAAAACTGGGATTTCGGAATCAATCCCTAATTCTTGTTGAGTGTTAGTTTTATTCAATCATTTGTCATAAGAATAGAGGAAACTGCAACGAGCACATTGGCCAATACTGGGCAGTCCCATTTACTCCCAACCCCTATCGCTCGTATATCCATCCAACCTACGTTTGAAGCTATCCAGCGTATTAGAGTTAATGATGTTCGTTAACTTGTTCCACTCGTCCATTACTCTATTTCCAAACCGATGTTTATCAATCTCGCCTAAATCTAAATGTCTTATTTAAAACCATTCCTACGAGTTTGCTCCTGGTTGGATAGTTTGAGTACCATTTTTGTATCACCTTTGTTTAAGCCTGACTGCCATTTATACACCTGTATCGTATCGCCCCTCACTGTCTCTCGAGGGAGTGCAAATTAAGATGCTTTGACCTGTCTCTGTACTCAAGATTCCTAATGCCTGGGATTAGTCTTGTAATTCTCCCCTGAATTCTTTCTAGGGATTCTGTATCCATTCTCTAGAACGGTGACCAGAACTGAACTGCGTAATCCAAGTGAGGTATCGCAAGCGCAAGGTATAGTTTTAGGGTGACCTCGCTAGTCTTGTAAAAAATACTCCTTTGGATGAACCCAATACTTTGTTAGCCTTGTTTCGAGCAAGTGCACATACTTTACTTGGTTTAAGTTTCCTATTTATCATTACTCCTCATTCTTTCTCGGTCGGATTTCTCTAACGTTGTTCATTTGGTAACTGGTTTCTGTTTATGCCTCCCAGACTAAGTACTTTACATTTGTCCTCATTTAATTTCGTATGCCATTTTTTAGACCATTCGAAACGGTTTAATCTTCATGTAGTTTTGCGGAGTCTTCGTCACATTAATTACATGCCCTGTTTTAGTATCGGCAAATTTACTTCTGTTGCTGTCTATGCATAGGTCATTTATGTATACTATAATAAATAGTAATGGTCCAAGTATACTTTCAACCAAGTCGTTGAAGGTTTTTTGAAAATAGGCGTTATGATTTTAGTTGAACACAAATGTTATTTTTGTAAGTTCACCCAAACCCAGGTGGACTTGTGTGGATTCTTGGAGTGGTAAAAACATGGGTTAAGATTATTGAAATTTGGCAACATTTTTGTAAGACCCCATAGACAAGAATACCATACTGTTGACAAATTTTGACAAAAGGTTGTTGGGATTGTCACCAGATTCATAAACTGGTAATGCAGATCCAGTGGGCAGTTTTAATAAAATGTCTTCCAGAAAAAATATTAACCTTAAAAGAACTACTGTACTGTATTTTGAACTTAAATTATTTTAAATATGCAAAAAAAAAAAAAAAGGATCAACCATTTATTTGAGGACATAGTTGCAACTACAGTATTAAACCATTCATGAGATGGTCCACATTAATCTTATGGGGTTTGTTTATTTATAATTATGGTTAGATAAGTTTTGTTAAAAGACTGGAGTTAATGACTCCATCCTGGTGTTCTGTAGAGCCACAGTAGAGAGTATGAATGAATGGAGCTGCCCTTTGTACAGGAACTTAAAATATACTGTAGAGCAAGTTGGATAAATAAGAAAAATTATCTGCCACTTTTTCGTGCATTAAGAAACTCGTAGGTAATGCTCTAACTTAATATTTGCGTAAGAAAAATCCTACAGGCCAGCAGTATTTAGTGACAAAGTACTGTACTGTCAAACTTGGGTGAGATTAAATTTTCGAAAATTTCGCACAGTAGTCTTGATGTGTGCCGTGTTGAATACAGTGCGCAAATATTATACAGGTGTTAAAATATTTTATTTTTTATTTTGTTTTGATAAATATGTACAGTATTAAAGGAATTGGAAATTTACCTAGATTTAATACAGTATTTCATTGTCAACAGGTGTGGACATTGCAAACGATTGAAACCAGAGTTTGAGAAAGCAGCTACTTCTCTGAAGACCAATGATCCTCTAGTGATATTGGCAAAGGTAAACAATAAGTACATATTCAGTTTACTTCAGCTGTATTAAGAACATTCATTGGGTTAGTACAGTACTTGTATGTAGCCAATAGTTATTAAGGAATTGGATCACAGGCACTAAGGTGTATAAAAGGGAGAAGGGTAAAAGTTATCTGGCACAGCTTTAACTTGTGTAAGCTTTGATGCTCTCCTAAGTGTGTGTGTTTGTATGAGAGAGAGGGAGGGAGGACAAAGAGAAACCTCTGCCACTGTACATAAAGGGTCATTTAGAAAGCCCAGTACTGTATCATGAATATTGGCAATGGTGTTTTAGTTGAATGTTTGGCTTTGTCAAGTAAAAAAAAATAGGATTAGCACAATGGAGAGCACTCAAATACAGTACAGTAGTCCTTTGATTCTATTGATCATTTCATTCAGTAAAGTGTTACATGTGAATTTTTAAGTGGCATAAGTTCTTTATATGGGTAAAAATCATGTTTGGAATTTGTACAGCATGTAGTGTTGCTGGTTTATAGTTCATGGGGATAAATGCAGGAACTGATAGTTCATTGTCTTAAAGGTCCCTGTGACTTTGGATAAATTGTATACGGTGGTCTCTTTTATAGGTTGATTGTACGGAAGATGGAAAAGACACCTGTGGGAAATATGGTGTTTCTGGGTACCCTACCTTAAAAATTTTCAGAGGTGGAGACCTCTCCTCCGATTACAATGGTCCTCGTGAAGCAAGTGAGTTTTGAATTCGGTTATTTACAGAATTTTTAATTGTTTGCCATAGGATTTTGAGATTTTGAATGGAATCCTGTTTAGAAACTAAGTTTTTTCATTATATTATGTTTGCAGATGGTATTGTAAAGTACATGAGATCACAGGTTGGGCCAGCATCCAAGGAGCTTAATTCCATTGAGGTGGCTGAGGCCTTCCTTAGTGCTCCTGAAGTTAGTGTATTGTTCTTTGGCGACGACTCAAAACTTAAAGGTGAGTAACTATATAAATCTCTAGACTAGATAATTCATGCCACACATGAGAGCATATGACTTTTGATCATAGTTCACATAAACAGTATTCCCCTCAGGAACTGCTTTATTGCTATAAATTATATCTAGTTTATATATGACCAGATGAGCGAATGTTATGTTAGTCCTGATGAACTGATCTTGGTTTCAAAATTTTGTACAGTTATGTACTACAAGATCACTGACTTTCCAACATAGTTGTGATCTTTAACATGGCTATGTAGTTATGGTCTAAGGAAGAGGCAGATTTTACATGTTTACCCCAACAAAATTTTGGTTCGCTACCTGTACAGTACTTAAATTAGATAATTTTTGTTAAAATCGTCTTTGGGGGCTCATAGTAAGTAATTTGACTTTAAAACCCTTGTAGGTCAAGGTATATGGTCAGTACTGGACTAGGAAATCAGTTTGGAAATCATGTGACTTAAATTAAAAAAAAAAAATATTATTGCTGTCTCGTTATATTTTTGTATGCCAGGCATTGTAGTGAAAGGAGGAGACTTGAGTGTTTCTGGGCTAAGGATGGTCATGACAGTAAAATTAGTTTCACCAACGGCTCAACAACTCACGAAATAATAAATAGCTGTTTAGCGCATTGTTCTACCCTTTGTAATGAATGTAGGGCGCAACATGCAATAATGAAGCACCAAAGTATTTGGTACATAGTGAACTAAAATGTGGGTAACGTGTCAAGGTGACCAGGAAATTTAAAAAAAAAAAATTTTCTTCCAAGAACCTAGATGTGCTGTACTGTTGTGTAGTAGGGTTGTAAATGAGGGTTTGAGCAAAAAGTGGGGGGGGGAGATTTATTGGATGTAAGGGTTTGATAGACCAGATATTAAAAAAAAAAGGCATTTGACAAAAATGCTGGGATGGTTCAAGGGATATTGTGGGAGGTGGTGTTGGAATGCTAGAACTGTTACAATTTTAATATTTATTTTAGCACTAACCTTGCATTTTATTTCAGATGCTTTCCTCAAGGCAGCAGATAAACTGCGAGAAACTGTACGTTTTGGTCACTCGGTAAAGGCGGAGATAAATGAAAAATATGGATACGATAATGTAGTGGTGCTGATCAGACCAAAACACTTGGAGAACAAATTTGAGGAGACCTCTGTTGTATATGAAGGACCAAATGACAAGTCTGCAATTGAAACATTTGTGAAAGATAACTTGTGAGTATGATTTTTTTGTTATTCAGGGTATGGTATTAACAAAATGGATTATATACTTTTATATAATTTAAAACTTAAAAATACTTAATTTACCATTTAATGAAAGTATTTTTAAGTTAATTTACAACCATTTAAGTTTACACTAGTGATATGACTATAATTGGTGCCACAAAAAATTTATTTAAGTTGATGTATAACTGCCATATATACTGTATATAAAGGAGCCCTGATAAGGATTCTTTCAGTGGTCCTTTGCATTTAACGTCAGCCTCATTAGGGTGCTATAGTTAACACTCTTGGGTTTAGGGAGGTGCGCTTCAGTGAGACGCTTGGAGTCTGGCTGGGTACTCGCCTCACCGCACTTGACTGAACCTCACAAGAGATAACTGAACATAATGAGTCATAGCAAGCTTGCTAGTTGAGATAAAAAGGTGGGGTTTGTTGCATTAGCATTGTAAATTATCTACAAACAGTTTTGAGCAATCGCCATAAAATATTAATTTTTATACGTAAGTGCGAGTAGAAAAAAAAATTTCCGCTTAATGAAAATGTTTATCACTTTATACCTTTATTTCGTGAGATTCCAATTTAAAGTTTATTTTTTAAAGAATACACATTTAGCAAAATAGTTATATTAAAGTTGTGAAAAAAATTATATTTCGCTAGGTAATAGTGGTGTAAATTGTGCTTTCTGATGAGCCGCCCAGGCCAAGTACAGACTCTTAATTTTTCCCTCGGAGTGCTAAAGATAACTGTACATAACTGTATATAATAACAAGCTTACTATTGTTGCATTAACATTGTAAATACATTATCTACAAACAGTGTTATACTGTATAGGTAAAAATAAAATCTATATGCAAGCACAAGTATTTCACGAATTGTAGTGCATGGCTGTCACTCAAGCTCCCAAGCATGAATATTCCACTCTCCTATTCACCTTTTTACATAGATTATACATAATATGCATGTAAATGCTTCGTATTTTCAGAATTCGTATGAAATAATACTCATAAATTATTGGTTAAATGTAATGCATAACAGTATAATATAAATTTTATGAAAATACATAGATTTCAGTACTTACATATTGGAGCACTTCATGTTCCTCCCACCCTTTCCTCTCCGCCTCAGTGTCCCACAGTGCCGTACTTAGCCTGAACAAGGCGATTAAATTGTTTGTGGGAGTACGGGTAGTGCCCACTTGTGAGGGACATGAGCTGTCACGAGGTAAGCCATGATGCGATGGCGCCATGTGTGTGACACGTTTATTTTCATTTTAGCCACATGCTAGGCAGTTCCCTTAGCACTAGGACTACTTGTTGAAGGGCCAGACAAACTATCACTTGCACTAGAAGAGCCAGGGACACTGGGAAAGGCCTCACCACAGTGTAATCTTGTACTTTTTATGTTTTCCCACCCTTCCACCTTCGCCAGCAACATAAGGCATGGTTCAAAACTATCGTAACACAGTTATCAATAAATGAAATTGATTAATGAGAAATTGGTACAAGTCACTAGAAAATGGTGGGAAATGAAGGTCAAGGTTACATCCTGTGTCGTTGAACCACAATGGCAACTGGTGTGGTCACTCGCGTAACCTTAGAGGCAGTTTACATACGTGACTGATCAGTGACATAGCCAAATGTCTTGCTTATCTAGCATTCATACGAAAACATAAAATTATTTTATTGTAATATTTTGTTCATATGCAAATTTCCATATGAAAATCCCTAACAATAATTTAGATGATATTGCATATGAAAACCCCAAGAGTGTTAAGAGAAACCTTTAGTCTCTGCTTTTCTAAGTTCGTCTCTTAGTAGCTCACCCACTAGTTTCTTGTTTTCACTTGTCTCCTCACTAACTCGTTTTAAAATTAGGTACAGTATATGGTACTACGTACAGTATACAGTTAACCCTCACTTTACGCGGTCCTGCATTCCGCGTTTCCACATTTACGAGGTGCCCTGCAGGAACCCAGGATGCTCACATTCCGCGGTGCGTGTACCCCTTTACGCGGAGAGCGGCTGGCGAGCCGCGCCATTTTTGGATCCAAACCTCCCGCCATCCGCCATGTTGTGTAAGCTGCGCGAACATGGTGCGCACAAGGTCGCCCAGTCATCAAAACATTACTAGTTCTTCACCCGCCACCCACCACAGCCGGCCCAAGTCAGTGATAGTGATAATTATGGTGAGGATATGGACTTGTATGGACTTTGGGGAGTTTGACAAAGAGGCCCTGCAAGCCTCTGGTGGATAGTGATACAATTGATAAAAGTGACAGGTGAGGGCCAATAATCTGCCCTCCGCCTCGGAACCAACTGCCCATCCCCGTGTGCCCAGCCATTTTTTCTACTAATGTAAGTGTTAAAAAACCTAATATTATTGATATTTCTCTTAATTATTAATTGTGTGCATACCATCATAAAGTTAAGATAATATTTTTACTACAACATAGTTGTGTGTCGTCAAAAAGTGGAGTTTGGGGATCGGCCCGGACTCCATTTCAATTAATCCCATATGTTATGTTATTCACTTTACGCGGGACCCTCCGGGTTACATTAACCGCGTAAAGTGAGGGTTAACTGTACTTGTTTATCCCAAATCACTAATACAGGAAAGTGATCATGCATATCTAACTTTGGGAAAGCTTTTCCTTTTAAGTAGAAAATAGGAAAGTTATGTGGCAGAAGTTAAAAGTTCATTGGTAATAGAAATCTTATTAAATGTTTTACAGCCATGGTTTGGTGGGTCATCGTACTCAAGATAGTGCTCAGGACTTCGGTTCTCCTCTCGTGGTTGCATACTACAACGTGGATTATGTGAAGAACGTCAAGGGCACCAACTACTGGCGTAACCGTGTATTGAAGGTGAGGTTTAGAATTTGAAGTGTTGTGCTGTACCTGTACAGCATTTGGAGCAAAATACAATATTTTGTAAAGCAGCTGATCAGTTTGCACAAGTTCTAGGTACTGTTCCACCGAACCCAAATGGTTTGCAGATTTACATGAAAATTTGTTTTATATGGAGGAAAAAAGGTCAACCTTTTATAAGGAGGGTTAGCTTTAAAGCAGGGTTTTTCCACCCTCCATTTTAATTTGTTTTAGAGTAACACTTTGAAGTCATTGGTGGTATATGTGAATTAAAGATCTCTAGTTGGCTGCTAGAGATAATACTGTAATTGATTTGCAGAAGTACTTTGACAAACGCATAGGACTAATACGTACTCATTTTAGAAGAAATTTTGATCCACTTAAATTTATTTTACAGGTAGCACAGAACTTCAGGGAATTCAACTATGCTGTTTCGAATAAGGATGACTTCCAGCATGAGCTCAATGAATTTGGTCTGGACTTTGTTCCTGGGGACAAGCCTGTGATCTGTGCTAGAGATTCAAAATCCCAAAAATTTATTATGAAGGAAGATTTCTCGTAAGTATTATTTCTAGATACAGGATATTAGTGACGTCTCAGTTAACCGGAACAATTGGTGTCAAGCACTTCCAGGAATGAAAGATTTTTGGGTAATGAGAAAACTCTCAGAAGCCGGAAAAAAATCCCTCATCCCCGGAATTTTCCTGGTACGTACTGGGAAAATTTTCTCAAAGTTCCAGAAATTGCACATTACATCTCTCGATCCCAGAAAGAAATCCCATTCCCAGAATTTCTCTGGAGTTTTCCAGTATGATTCATTATTTCCTCACAAAACCGGAAAAAATTCCCCCTCAGAATTTTTTTGGGTACTGTAAAAATTCTCGGAATTTCCAGAAAATTCCCATGATTTTCATCTCTCAAACCCGGAAAGGTAAACTCTCGTCCCTAGAACTTTCCCGGTACCAGGAAAATTTTCTCAATGTTTGTTTTTGGCTATTGAAGAGTTCTGGTTGAGAGGGATTCCATCTAAAGATATACATGTATACAGTATTAGTGTTTTTCTGTGTATTAAATATAGTATTTTGATAAACTATGCTTTGATTAATTTGCAAAAGTTTGGAAAAATTATCTTGTTACATTAGTTATCTGATGAAGGTTCATATTCAGCTCTCGGAGGAGCATTTTTCTATACAGTATCGTTTTAAGTGATGGCTTGGCAATTTGTCCCAGTGTTTACACCATCTTATGTTATTAAATAATTGGAAGTTTTGTGCCCAGAACTGTAGATCCTTTTTGAGTTTTGCACGAAAAATCCCTTTTTTTTATTTTTGTGGGTAATATGTACATTCAACCAAGTGGGAACTGCAACAAAATGTTCTGGTGTATGGAGACAACTGGAACCCTGTGTGTAACTACAGCTCCTCCCCTACTTCTGACAGGGTTAGGGACCCAAATCCAGGCCGTAAGTCAAAAATGCTTAAATAATACATAAAAAATCTAAAATAGGGGTCTCTTTTTCTTCTCTGCACCACAAAACTCACTTTTAAGCTTGTCAGCCATTTTAAGGTGAATTACAAACGAAAATTTTGTCGGTACACAACGCAATCACATGTTGGGACTCAAAAATACGTAATTTGACAAAATTTTGGTACAACTGAGGCGGTTGTATGTCCGGGTGGTCGTAAGTCAGGGAGGAGCTGTACTGTAATGGTGGGGCTTCCATATAACTCCATGACCAGAATAATTTGTCGCAGTTTATACTAAGCTGACTGTACCATTATTGGTATAGTCCAAAAGTTTTGTATTTGAAGGTTCCTCATTAATACAGATGAATCATTTGTGGCAAAATTGGAAGCCTAATATAATGGTATTCAAAAATTTGTAAACTTGCAAGTCATGTAATTTAAAATTTTCCAATGTTTGTATCCTTACACCTCTGTTCTTTTGACAGGATGGAAACTTTCGAAGCATTCCTCACCAAACTTAAAGCCGGTGAATTAGAGCCTTATGTGAAGTCTGAACCTATTCCTGATCAAGATGGCCCAGTTGCTGTTGCAGTTGCCAAGAACTTTGATGAACTTGTAACAAATAGTGATAAAGATGTGATGATTGAGTTCTATGCTCCCTGGTGTGGACACTGTAAGAAGTTGGCTCCAACTTATGAAGAACTTGGAACTGCGGTATGTTTCAAATCTTTAAAAAAAAAATATTGAGTAACAGTAAGCACATTACTATTTTCTTTCTAGGGTGGCCAGAATTGAATCTCATTGACTGTTTATTTATTCAGTCTCTGATGTATTTGTGTTTATACTTGATGGTAAAACATTTGGTAAAATAGAATGTGTGGAACCATTGCTCCAGACTGAAGATAATCAGGATAATTTATCGAGTTCTAGTTTTGAAGTACATAGCATGAAACCTCAAATTGACTGGGTAGAATTTGCGAAAAATGTAAAAATATAAATAGCAACCAGCACTGCAAATTTTGGGTTCAGATGTGTAGTATAATAATTGTGCAGATTTTTTGCAACCCTTTCTTTATAAAAAAAAAATCGATCTCATTTACACCTTTTTACATCTTGGACTCGTGAAGTCTGTATACCTCGTTCATTTAGCTGTTCACAATATTCGTTGTCAAAATCAAATACATTATGCAGAACATCACGCCTTGAATTTTGATAGGGGGAGGGGGATACTTTTCTTAAAGTATGGATTACAAATATTCTAGCTTCATTGCAATGAGGTAAGCTTGATATAAACTGCTTTAATTGGTGGGGCTAGATGAAAATATATATATTTGCAGGATTTGATCTATAATAAACCAAATTTGATAGCATCCCTCATCTTGGAAGTTGCAGTTCATTGTGATAGCCACTTACTAAGGTCTTCCTCAAAATGAGAGAAATCTTGCGAGCATTGCTGTGAGCATAACACGAGATGCTTCACTCCGTATTTGCTATTGTGTACAAAATGTTTTTCTTCTTGAGCACAAGGGGTTCCCTTTTATGTTGAATAAAATCGTCTGGTGTTAGCCAAATAAAATTAAGTGTCATCCCGTAGTGAAGGGGTTAAAAAAGATAAACCACCTTGGATTTGTCGAGCTTTGCACAACACAAGTTACAGATGTGACTTTGTGGAGAGCGAAGTTCTCTGGTATTGTATACACAAAGGTGTTTTCTGTCAGTCCTGGGCACTTCCAGAGGTTGTTAGATTGTTGCAAATATTTTTCCTCCCGTTTGTCTGGAAAAATGGATTATCTTGGCTGCCTAATATATTAGTTTGGAAAGTTGATGCTTTCCTCTTAGGCAGAATTTCCTCTGGTTGATTATCCAGTGGAGTATATAGTGATGGGCTAATGGTGAAGGAAACCATTTTAGGGAATACCATATATACTGTACTAGGTACAGTTCAAGTTTTTATTTTAGGCAGTCAAATTATATTATAATATTTTTTAGGGTTTTAATTTTTGCATTTATGGGACATTAGCTATGAACAACAGCTACCTGGTACATGTTTGTGGTAGGCTTGCCATGCCTGTAAGCTCTTTATCCTGCTTGTTCCTTTAGATTATTTCTGTTGGTACATGAACAGAATTTCAATCACTGGTATACTGCACATCCACAAATAGTGATGCAACTGATGATTTACTGATAATTTTCTTTTCATTTGCATCTGTTAACATCGCTGGCAGTATTGTTGCCAAGTTATTCATTATTGTAGCTACTCCCCCCTAACCTTTATGCTACTAGGCTGAGTTGAGAGGGGTTATGGTTATTTTTTAATTGGTTACATGCATGATCATTCATACATATTGTGCAAAAAAAAAAATTCTTTTTTGGTTACTCAATAAATGGAATAAATATTTCTTTCTGCAAGAGACTTAGCAGTCTGAGTGGGAGGGAGAAGCGGAGTGTGGGAGCTCCATTCCTAGGGGGTAGGCAGAGGCAGTGTCCCAGCTAAGCTGCATTGCTATGACAAGTGTTGAGGCTAAGTAGCCAGCGTCATGCAAATGGTGGTGTTAAACTTTCAATTCGCGGGTGTGAGAAGTGCTGTGCAATGTCTACCTGATTTTAGAACAAGATTCGAGTGAGGCCAGACCTTCTGGTGTGGGTTCAGGGGCCCTAAATCCTGAGCGTGTATTTAGTGACGACAGTGCTCACGTGGATACCCCAGCCATGCTTGGTGATTGTGATTTTGGGGGTGAATTTAGTGGTGATTATGGTAATGCAAGTGCTACTGGCAATAGTGCGGGTGACCTGCATGAGAATGTTGGTGAGGAGTTACTTGATGTTGGGGAGCTTAGTGGTGGTGGTGGAGCACCAGGTGATGCAGGGGTCAGGAGCATCCCCCCCAAGGCCCTATTGAAAAAAAGCAGGATGAGACAGCGTAGGGTTGACGAATGGGCACAGGTTGCCACGAGTAATTGTAATTTGATTATGACGAGGCCATTAAAGTTATACGCACTTCTCAGGATTTACGTAACTTCAACTTGGTACGATCTTCAGAGATAATAAAACGAAGGAACTAAACCAAGTAGGATTATAATAAACTTTTATGCAAATTTCTCTGCCTTTGTATTTGTATGTTAATTACTTTGGGGGGGGGGGGGCTAGTGTAGTGGTGTTTCCTTATTACACATTATACTTAACAATATTATATATCTTTGGCTAATAATAGGGACAAAGATGAATGCTGATAGGCAAATGAATTTTTAATCCTTTAATTTAATTTTTTTTTGAGGGGGGGTAAGTCTAGTGTTTTTGGTGGTCCTCAACTTGTTTTACAGTATTAGCCCACACTAATAAGAATTTTGCAGAAAAATGCAATAATTGGTTTGAAGATAAAAGGACTGTAAATCACGGGTAGTTATTCTCATTCAACTCGCGATAAAATAACTATTCCCAGTACTAACTTACAGTTTGCTATGAGAGGGATTGAGCTGCACGAAAAAAAAGTTATGGTTGTTTGAACTTCAAAAAACTTTAAACCCGTTTTTCTCCGCTTTGTTTTTTATAATTTGCTTTTCAGTATTTTACATTGGCACTGGTTATTTTTCAACTTGTAATTTAGGAAAGGTATACGGAATTTTCTTAATTTTTGGTTATGCTGGACCTGTATTACGTTATATGCAGTGATACATTCAGAATGTGCCAAAAAGCAGATACTGTATATTAATAATAATCTTAAGGTCAAATACATAAAGGGGAAAAAACTTTCTTCGTGTTTAGAGTTTATTCTGAGTGATAGAGGGGGGGGGTGAAGGATCTTGGCTGTTCCGTCAAAAATGTGCAGTAAAACGATTAAGAAGTTTTGTCATCCAGCGGCCAAAAGACAATAGGTTTTTTATTATTCCCCGCATGATAAAAATTTACTGGTAAATATCTTATTTCTCATACGAGTTAGTAACTGGTGGGGATTCAGTTTGAGTTGGTAACTCTTCATAGCATCTGCTGTGGTGGTTATAGCCAAGATGCGTTGGTGTGAATCTGGCATCTTGCTTCAAATTATGTCTAGGATTATGCCTAGTATTTCTCAAAAGCTAGGGTTGAATTATGCAAGATATGTGAAAAACTGTCTTTTTTTTTTTTTATCATGGGACAAGCTATGTATGAGATCGGTTTATTTTTAACAGTGGAGGTACGATGTTCTCCACTCTGCTGTTTGACATCCAAAAATGAATGGATCAAAACCTCACTTTTTGAGCTTTGGTGGTCAGATATCCTAGAGTTCTTAAGCTTTTCAGTGGTATATGCCAAAGGATCATTCTTATGTTCTTAAGAAGTTATTGGACTTTGAATTGATGGTTTAAACAAATGCCTCTAAGGTAGGATGAGGTGTTCATTTCTGTGAAGGCTTGGAATATGAGGATGTGGCCCTGCCTGCATCATGGTTTTGCATCGGCCTGAAAGACCTGATTTTCTGTTCCTGACCTACATGGGATGCCAGCTTTAGAGAAGTATATTGCTCCTTTAAATTTAAGATAAGGTATGTTCTTGAATCTTTACGATTCAGTAATGTGGATCTTATAGTATAATAGACACCACAATGCATTGTCTTAAGATGAGGGAATGTTTGTTGCTAAAAAATCTTTTGCTTGCAGATGAAAGATGAAGCTGTAGAAATTGTAAAGATGGATGCCACAGCGAATGATGTACCATCTTCATTCAATGTGAGAGGGTTCCCCACTCTCTTCTGGAAACCCAAGGGAGGTGAACCAGTCCCATACAATGTAAGTGATTCATTACATAATGTACAATATTTTTATTCATTATACCTGTATAATATGTAGCTACTATTTTTTCCTTGTAATCCATTTAGTTTTAAAAAAGAATCTTACTTTTGATGTATTTTAAATCATCAATGTTTCACTACCAATTACCACACTTGTGTGGGCTTGATGAATGTTGACTGATTCCTAAGATTTTAATAATCTGTAAGGTTTACGGTATAATAACGTCTCTCCTTACTTTTAGGGTGGCCGGGAACTGGATGATTTCATCCCATACATTGCTAAAGAAGCTTCAAGCGAACTCAACGGTTGGGATCGCAAAGGAAACCCCAAGAAGACAGAACTGTGAGATCTGTAAACACTGGTCTGCTAGGAGGCCCCCCCAGTGTCTCTTGAGTGGTGAATGTTAAATGGTGCAGGTTAATTTTTCCTGAAGTACATAATCTAAATTATGTAGCAAAATGACATTGGTAAAGTCTTAGAAAAAATAGTATTCAAGTGCTTACCTATTTGTACATGATGGATCAGTATTTAAGGACCGACTTTTAAAGAATTACCACACCAGTGAAGTTTGTTTGGTGCCTGTTTGTGTGAGGAGAGATTGAAGAATAAATGTTAGTGCAATCATATACATTGTGGTGAATGTTTATTATTGTTAAAACTATTGTTCCTTTAGTCATTTGGATGCTATGCACAGAACTTTTTTGTATTGAGTTCTTCCTACAATCATTCCTGCTCTTTTCCAGAACATGAGTGCATAAGTTTCAAATATAATGCATTCAGTTAACTTAATAAATTTTATAATATAATTAGGATTTATTTTTATCCATTAATTCAGTGCCTGTGGCTGACCCGGTGAAAATATCCATGAACTTCGATTGTGGCACTTGAGATTATATTTACGTAATTTTTTTATGAAGCGAATTTTCACCTTGCAAGTAAGTTCTCTACTACATCACTAGATGATCCTTTCATATCAAGGCCCTTATATTAATTTGGTGCATGTCACTTCATACAATCCAGTCCCAGTCCTGTTCTTATTACTTAGAATGGATCTCTTTTCCAGAAGAAGGAATTTGTAAGTTTATGGAGGTGGTTGGCTGCTGCTAGTATATATTGGTTTATAATCTTATCTTTATTTTAATATTTGCACATTTCTTACTGGTGAAATTTTTAAATATAAACGTATCATATAAAAGCAACACCATAAGAATGAGAAAAAAATGGTTGTACAGTACTAGATTATGCATATGGTACTTAATGTTTTAACATACGAAACTGAAAAGATCAACATATTTTGTAAATTGATAACCATACACATCTTGGACACTGATGGTGGTCCAGGTGATGACACCTGTAAATTCATAATAGTTTACAGAATGGGGTGTCAAAAGTAGGTGAACAATTGAGATGAATGATTAATCATGATCAAATTATTTGCTGCCCAATCCAACCTTGTCAGTTGACCAACACAATAAGAAGTACAAAGGACAACCCTAATGACAACTGTCCTGTGAATGACACTTTATTGCTTATTATTCAAGAAAAATCTTGGGTGTTAATAAACAAATCACTGAAGGCTTAGTCTCCCATCAAATGCCAAGTTGACAAAGTTCCTTCAACTTGAGAAGTCTCTTGTATCTCATCTGGACTACTGTATATAAGTGTAGCAATCATACCTCCAGGAAGACATACCCCATAGAAAAAGTGCAATGTAGTGATAGATTATGCCTTGTCTATACTATAATGATTGAGACCGAGGGCCTTAGGTCTGACAACTCAGACGAAACAAGATGGGGGCAGACCATGGGCATTCAAAATACTGAAAAGGATGGAAGACGAACCCAAATAAATTTTTGGAAGCATCTCCGACATGAGGAAATTTGTACTTCAGTGATAGACCTATGGAACAGTCTACCAGCATATGCCATGGAAGCAAGACTTCTGTACTAGGCTTCAAATATCCATGGACAAGACTATTGACCCTATTGAGCATTATGACAAGTACTTGAATCGCTGGGTAGCTCTATTTGCATGTGGTGCGAATTGCGTCATTAAACTAAGCATATGACAAAGGTTTTCAAGTTAATGTCTGATACTTAGGAGATAATAAAAACCATGTGTTGCTTGACATTAAGAATTGGATGGCCAAGAGAAAACTAAGATCTGAGGAAATAGGTGGGGTGATGGTTGACTTTGGGAGGGGGGAGAGTACAACCTGATGCCATTCTTAATCTTGGAGTGAATTTTGACTTGAAACTGAATTTTAAACAACAGATTTAATGGTTATGAGTTGCAACTTTCATACAGTATTTGAAATCTGTATGTAGTAGTTTTTGGATAGACCGTGTCTTGACACTTGTAATCACTTATTTTGTATTTTTGCCTATTCTAACTGGGTACATACTTGGCAGGAACTGAAATTTATATATTCTAGACTACAATTTCCTTAACAAATATAATGAAAACCTACTTCATAATAAAATAATAAGTTAACCAAATATAAACAATCATACTTTATAGTTTAGGAGAGAAATCAAATTGGGCCCAAGACATTTTCCCGCAAATTTGTAGCATTAGATTGTAGTGGATTCCTCCCCTACAAACGCTTGTCGCCGAGTAGCCGACCCCGTGAATTCCCCAGTGTATGCCTCGTGGTTTAGGTCAGCCAGTGCCGCCTTACATGACGGAGGTCAACTATTAAGCCACGCCTACCTCCGCTATATAAGACCTGACCTCTTGGTGACCTACCCCTCTCTTTTCTACCTACACCAACCAGCAAGCAACACCACCACGTCCTGCCTGGCGGCCCTCGCTCCCGCTGGTGAGTATGGCGACCCACAAGCTGGTCCTCCTCTGAGCATCCTCACCAACCAGCTCCATCTACATCACGCTTGTAACCATGCTGCCTTCCCAGCACCAAGCTGCATTGTACATCCAATACAACATGTATACAGAGAGCACATTGTGAGTTTCCTTTCTCCATCCCATCCTGAGTGTGAACCAAATATCCCGTACCCCACAATATATTGTACAGTGCAGTGCTAAGGAGTTGCTAAGAGGTCCTGTTGGGCGAGGAGCTTTCTGAGGGAGCTGGTTGGTGAGGCGCTGTTGAGAGGTGTTGCTGGTCAGGTCGAGGAGAGTAGAATGATGTCCGGCCAGCCTGCCGGATCAGAAAACGAGATGGCGAATCGTGCGGGAGCCAATCACCGTGGAGAAAGCGAAAGGTGTCAAGAGCGCTGATCCTGGCTGGGATGTTGAAGCTCGAACCTCACTCGGCGATGCCACGTGGGCGTCCGCACCCGGGAGGTAGTCTGTCGACGTAGCTGGCTGTAAGCTGATTGGCTGGTGATCAGTCGGCAGTTGTAGGGGAGAGTATCCACTACAATCCCACAAGGACAAGGTTGTGCCGAAATCAGGTGTTTTTTTCTGGGAGTGTTGACGCTGTGCCCACATTAACTGTGCCATTTTTCCTATATTCAGCAACCATTGGATCCTTTCTCACATTTCCACCACAACTTGGTTTTGTAAGTGACATGCTTGGTATACATGAACTCATTGTAGCAGATTTTTAGACACATTTATAACTCTAATAGCTTCCGTAGGAGTAGCTGAAATAAAAAAGAAATGATCCCAACGAGTAGTGAGCTCAAAACTTTCTTCTACAATATATTTGTTTTGCTCTGATTTTAAATCATGAATAATAATATTAACATATATAGGTTGTATTATAGTGTGATTTATAATTACAGGTCATATTGTACTAGACAAATTGTGCAGTTATCATACTACGTTATGTTACGGTTATGTTACAAAAATCTAAGTACAGTCATTCCGAAAATTGACAATGTCACTAACTGCAAAAAAATGCATGGTAAGTTTTGATGACACGTGGTAGCAGCTTCATGACCTTGTAGCGTAGGCTATGTAGGAGATCTGCACTAAGGATGGAAGTGAGAAGGGAAACTCACTATCGCATTATATATATATATATATATATATATATATATATATATATATATATATATATATATATATATATATATGAGGAGTTGCTGTGAGAGGAGGTTTTGTCTGTTTGAGAGCGTTGAGTAGAATCCTCTTCACGGCGAGGCTGGGGGTATTTATACAAGTCTGCCGGAAGTGAGCAGCGCTGCGAGCCAATCACCCCGCAGTCCGAAAGCTAGGCTTGGGCTGAGAAACTCGCCGCGGGGTCTGCTGGTCAGTGACAAAACGGTAGTTGGCAGTTGTAGGGGAGAGTATCCACTACAATACTCCCCCCTCCTGTCCGAGCGCTGCAGGAAACTTTTTGTCGGCAGGGTTGTATTCCACATGTGAGACATAATGAGTGGGGGTGTGAACCACTCGGCCGCTACGGGTGACGACTCCGTCTAGTGACACGAAATCTGTGGGAGAAGCAAAGGGAGAAGGAGGGTTGTAGATAAGAGAAGGTTGAACAGGCGAGGAATGTGGCGCTTCTTTCGCGGCAGGTGCAAAGTCCTCAGGGGCGCCGGGTGGGGTGTCTGGGTTCATAGGGCCGGATGCAGGATCTTCATCAGGGGCAGGGTCCATGTCAGGAGCAGGGTCCGTATCAGGAGCAGTAGGTACCTGAGGATGAAAAGAGGGTACCCAGAAATGTTGTGGACAAGGTGGTGCTGCAAGTGACAACTGTGGGCAGACTGGTGCAGGTGTGGTTTGTGTAATGCTGGGCTGGGGGCCCATCGGGTAAGGTGGCCGGCTTCACTCGATCGATGCTGACGGTGTCGTGTCTGCCATTGCGAATGATCGTCAGGAACTTCGCTGACCGTGCAAAAACCGAGAAGGGTCCGTCGTAGGGGCGTTGAAGTGGGTTGCGGTGAGTATCGCGTCTGACGAAGACATACTCGGTGTTGAATATTGCAGGAGGGATGTGTTCACGGCGATGGGAAGGCTGATGTGGGGCAGTAGCTTTGAATGCGGAAACTGCCTGTCGTAGTGTTTGTAATAGGTCGTGACGGGCAGCAGGAGTGAAGTGGTCGAGGTCACGAGTAGGTGAGAAGTCCTCGGGTAGGCGAAGGGGCTCGCCTAGGTAGAGATCTGCTGGGCTGCAGTCCATGTCTTCCTTGTGTGATGCGCGGATGCCAAGGAGCACTCAGGGTGTAGCATCCGTCCAGCTGTAGGGGTCGTGCTGTGTCTTGATGGCGTCCTTCAGCTGACGATGAAACCGCTCTACCATGCCGTTGGATTGAGGGTGGGAAGAAGTAGTACGGTGTCTGGAAGTGCCGAGGAACTGCAGGAGACTATGCCAGAGTTGCGACTCAAACTGGACTCCTCGGTCAGTAATGACAGTCATGACAGTCATGGGAGGACCAAAACGGGAGACCCAACCAGACAGGAAGGCGTGGACAGCTGACTGCTGTAGCATTAGGCATGGGAATGGCTTCTGTCCAGCTGGTGAAACGGTCAATGCAGGTGAAGATGTAAGTGTTGCCGCAGGATGATTGAAGAGGTCCCACGATGTCGAGGTGCACTACCTGGAAGCGTCCTTTAGGCACAGGGAAGGTTTCTAAGGGAGGACTGGTAGGCTAAGCATTGGGCAGCCCGTACCCGTGGGTGACTGAGTCCACGGATGTGGTCGGTGACATGCAGCGGCGAGACGCCTGAAGTGACGGAGGTTATGGCGTTTACCAACCCCCCTTGACGTCGCTTCCTCGTGTAGTTGCAAGGAGCCTCACAGTGTCTAGCGTTAGCACCAAAATGTTGATGGTACCAACAGAAGGTAGGTGCACTGTGCTGAGGGCTGGCGGCGGCGTCTAAGGCAGGACGGGGA